TAATATATATAGCGCTAAAATTTGAATTATAATCTACAATTTCATACCAAAGTTATTAATATAAATTCATGAAATAATAGTTCAATAAAATTTTGAATGCAAGTCCACAAATGAGATGAAATGGCCTTTCACCCGTGACCCATCTCGAAAGGGTTGAGCAGAATAAAGTGTTCAAAAAATCACTCAGGAGGAACAGACCTCTGTCCACCATTCCAGCAACTGGGAACTGAGAGTGGTTAAGATTCAGAAATGGAGGGGGGGGGGGGATTCGTGTTGGGGAGTCCCGAGAAATTATGCTCCGGAGACGGTGCAGTAGGCGAACCATGTTCCTTATTTGGAAAAGCAAGTCAACTATGATTTATTCAATCCAGAGGTCAGCAGGGAAGGCAAAAATCCTTTTATGCCTTATGCAACATCCCATTCCAACAGAGTTTGTTGGTACTACAAATTTTACTTATTAGGCTACTGGTAGCTAGTGCACATTTCGAAAAAGCATAACTGACCAGGCAATACTCACCACTGAGTTGGATCCAAATGATAATGACAAGAGGGTCATTGAAAAGGAACAGAATAACACAGAAGAAGTGAAATAACACACCTCTGTCACAATTGAGCTGGGGCGTGTAGAACATCAATAAGGGGTAGCTGAAACCCATCCGAGAAGGAAACCATTATATCATGTAAATAGTGCAATATAAAGGTGTTACGTGTGGTCCACATACCTGCCTGCACAAATTCCTCCAGTGGGTGACACTACTGAAGTGCGAGGGACACTGAGATATGTCACAGTCTCTGCTCCTTCAATGATATCCCAAAGTAAGTTATACAAACCAACTAATAAATCCAACCTATCAAAGTGACAGGGAGGATAATTCATGTGACACCGTAGGATCCCAGTGGAAAAACAAACAGTGATGCAAGCCTGAATTGGGCATAAAAGACAATCCGGATCCGAGCAGTCATATAATTGTGAAATGGAGTGAATATGAATAGGAGAGAAATCCTTATATCCTTCTCTAGCTACTGAAGTTTTGGACAGAAAAGACCTTTCTGTATACAACTGAACATAAGTGGAATGGTAAAAATAGTCCTGTGAACATGAAGCCCAAACACATCTGAACATTGACACCCACTAGTCAATCACAGATGAAAATAAGTCTTAAGTGAGAGTGATATAGTGAACATGACCCCAAAGATTCAATAGGTGGACAAGATAAGGCATGGAGAACCACTGTGATATCCCAATTAGAAACCTGGAAAGAACGACGAGAACGGATAACCTGAAATGATTTCAGAAGCAGTAACAAAACCAGGGACATAAACATTGTTCTTCTCTTAATAAAACAAAAGGTAAGCCAATAAAGCAGCTTTATAAAGGGCAATAGATGAAGATGCTAAACCTCTGTTGAATA